CTCAATAGACTATAACAAACCTGTGCAATACATCACATTATATAATTAACACATTCAACATATTTTCAATGCTTAGCCCCTTAATCACAAAACTAGAAGAAGGAGCCTCACATTCATAATCATCATAATCATTCAACAATAATCACATTTTTCTCACTTCTTACTTGCACAAGTATTTTAGCCCTTTCTAGATTTTACAATTTGATATATATATACACACACACAACCTAGGACCCAAAATATATAACTTAGTTCAACATTCACATGGTACAAGTAAATAACCATGAATTATTCTAGTTGGCAATATCATGCAATTTATACATATAACATTCAAAATAAAAAATGATGCCTACAGATAGGATAGCTATCCTATGCTTTGGATTGTTTCCCTTGATCCAAACCAACTGAGCTAGTTCCTATAATATTGAAGAGAGAGAGGTGAGTACAGCCACTTAGTAACCAAGGTATATCTAACTTATACTAATACATGTTAATTAATTTAAATGTAAAACCAAGGTATATCTAACTTATACTAATACATATTAATTAATTTAAATGTAAGAGGCAAAACAATTTCATACTCATATGAAAACACCAATTCACTACAACACTTTATTAGCACAATTTATAATAAACTATGGGTTATTACATGCTGAGTTTATCCATGTGATGAGACTACCTTAGCCAATTACGAGTGAGAAGTTACCCAGCTAAGGTCTCTTGACTCACTTATGGATCAGGATTTTTCCCAAATTTCACACTATGTAGTGTTGTTCTCCCTAAACTAACTTTCTCATCAAACAAGTGAAAATTAGAGCAGGTTCAAATCCCTTACTACATAATAAAACAATCCCTTGTCAAAAAGATAGGACAATAAAAATAATAATATCCAGGGAAACTATCGAGCTGTAATGGTAGCCTTACTATATGAATTTTAAGTTTACCACTTATTTTCCTAAGTGAACTCTCACTTTATATGATCATGTAATACATAAAAATACAATATTCCATAGCATGCAAAGTAATTACTATTCAAGCATGCTTAATAACATCATTGTTCTCAAATCATTATAATAATCACATTAACACAATAATCACATAAATCATTGTACTCCTTACTATATACATTCATTGAACTCCTCATCATCGTAAAACTCCTTAATTTTTAACATTTTATTCATTTCACAATAATCACCCAAGAATAAGATTTTCAATACTTCTTATCATCATTAAAGGAAGATGTAAATTTTATATGCCATACTTGCATTTCAAATAATTTCACACATTTCAATTATAGGGTATAAATGAAGAAATTAATTAATACACAAAAATACAAGAAAGATTTTCCTCGATTACCTTAAATTTTTAAGAGGTCAAAGGTCTGCCCCTCAATTACATACTTCTAAACTTTCACAAAGCTTGAATGGTGTCAATAAGTGATCAGTCTACAGTTAATCACATTAACTATCATTAATATTCTCATTAGGACAAATTTCACACTTAAACTCAACATACCTACTTATCTAAAATCACAGCCTCACTTTTTAAAATACCCTTCGAGTTTACTAGCTTCTTTTAACTCACATTATAATTAATGAACCATTAGACCATCATTAATGGCCATCAAACACCTCCAACTACTCTCATTTATGGCAAATTTTACGTATTAATGATTAACAAAATGCATTTATTGCTCTTAAGAGGGTTTAAATACCAATAATTTCATTAACTCCATTTAAGTTAGAGCCATATAAGTCTAAAAATTAACTTTCTCAAACAAACCATAGCTCATAACATCAAAAATGCAAGAGGGAGGAGAATTTTGGCTTAGGAAACTTACCTCTAGTGTTTGAAAGCTTTAAAATACTTTCAATACTTCTAAATCCCAAGCCTAGCAAAGCTCCTTGCTTTCTTTTGCTCCTCTTTTATTTTCTTTCTATTTTTCACGTCTGATATAACTTTTCTTTCTATAAAAATTTTATCCGTGCACCACAATGCTTGCGCCATGTGCTATGACGTGTGGTACAGAAAAAGGATATTCATGCTCTAATGGCTTATGCATCATTTCATGCAACATAGAGCCATTTTCTATTTTTTTTTCACTTTTGACATTCAAGTAGCCCGACTTTACCCCAAACTCAATCATAAGGCTGAAATCACAACACATAACATTCATTAGTTCTCTATAATCACATACCACATTTATTTACTTAATTAACCTCATTTACTCAGCTAATTAGAGGTTAAATTTTTCACAATGTTACAATATACCTACTGATCAATCCCCAAGATTTTCACTTAAGTCAGTCTTGCAACTTCCTTCGAGTCAAACCTTTAGTCTTAAGAGTAACACCAAGCAAGTTAGTAAATCTCTAGGTTCTAGTTCCCAACCTAATAGACCATGTATTAAGTTTTGTTATTGTCACATGATAGGCCATATTGCTTTTAAGTACCTATAATGTACCTTAATCCTTGAACACCAAGTCAATAATATGGATAAGGTAGTTGATGTTGATATAATGGTTGACCTTGTTGACTACCCTTCTGACATAGATGGTATAAGGTCGTAAGCCTAACTCAAGGCTCTTGAACATTGTAAAAAGTACTACACCGCCTCATGAGTTGAGGACTCTTGGATGAGAAATGACGTCTACCATACTTTTGGACAAATGATTGTGTGTTTTTCATGTTACTAATTCACGATACTATATTGTTGATATACTGTTGTATATTGCTGATATATTATCACAAATCAACATAATAAAATAATCAAACAAACTTATTTATCATTGATATGTATACACATATCAATGATGTAGTATCACATATTAACAACACGAAAAATGCACAATCATTTACTCAAAATGAATCAAACATAGTTCTCAAAAAATTTGATGTTACCAACAAATGCAAAGAAGGTGAAAATTCGATGACAAATAATAAATTCCAGCCTAGTTTTTTGCTTTCAGAAATGAAGATTCCTCTTCAATGTCTAATGTCTTTTTCATAATATTCCTGGGATAAACAGAGAAGGAGAGAGAAGAAAAACTCTGTGATGAATAAAGGCACCAGCTGTTTTATATTCTGAGAAAAAAAAGAGATGATTCAGAGAAAAAAAAAGATTTAGTCAGTTAAAAATTATTTACAATAGATATATTGTGTTTTAATAATAAATTCAATTTGAGGATAAAAAAAATAACATGCATCTAATTGATATTATGAATGGGCCATATTCTAAATTCTAAAATATTTAAAAATCTCATCTATAATTTATGAAAGCTGTATTTTTTGAGGCCATTTAGTAATTTCCTCATAATATTATAATAAATTATTTTTATAAAATAAAAATTAAGGAAGATATTATAAAATTTAAAAATAACAAACTAATAATCATTTTTTATTATTGTAACTGAACATAAAATAATTTCTACTTTTTATAAAATCTCTATAAAATAAATCTCTTTTTATAAAATCTCTAAAGTACTTAAAAATCACTTTTTTAAAATTTTAAACAAATGGGACCCAAGTATGGGACTATTAGCAGAAAATATATGGTAGGTAATTAAGTAGAGATGGAATATAAGTATAATTAATGATTATGTTTTGCTTAGTATTATTATAAAGAATTATATTTGTATGTTGGGTTGGATATTGTGTAAATTAAAATTATATTTTTAATATTTTTTATGATTTTTTATAAATATATTTGCACGTATCATATTCTATATTTTTAAAAATAAAAGTTTAGATATATCAAATACATACACGTATCAGTATCTATACAACACAGCTCATTTGTATTTAGTTTTGACGTTTTAAATAAAAATTATTCCTTCTGTTAAAAAATATAAGATATTTTTAAGAGATTGGATATTAAAAAATATAAAGTATTTTTAGTATTTTAAGGTGTAATCATTGTATTTTTTTAAAAGTGCCCCTAATGAATAAATCACTTTACATTTATTTTGGAGTGAAATATCTTATTAAATATGGGTAAATATAAAAAGATGGTGTTAGTTTGAAGAGAATTATCTACTTTATTCGAGGATGAGATTTGATTAAAAATACTTTACTTCCTCTATTTAAAAATGTAAGATAATTTTAATCAAATCTCACCCCCAATAAAGTGGTTACTTACTTTTAAACTAACTATATTTTTTATATTTACTCTTATTAAATACCCTATAATAAATATAAAGTCACTATCAATAAGGATACTTTTGAAAAAAATACAATGATTACATTTTGAAAAACTAAAAATACCTTACATTTTTTAACATTCAACTTCTCACAAAATACCTTACATTTTTAAACAAAGTGAGTATATTTTTCAATCAAGGAAGTATATAGTTTTTTCTTCTTCCTCCTCCCTCTCTTCCCTCCCCTCTCCTCATTCCCATTTCACCTCAAAGTAATTTTGCCATAAATTATATATAATATAAAAATTGGAAAAAATAATTATAATACCATGATATCTGCTATCTCTTTTTTTTAATTCTATTTTGTTTCTCTTGTCCAGTTCAATATTTGAAAAAATATTGAAAGAATGAGAATAAAAAATATGATATAAATTTTAAACAAAATCTTATTAAGAAGAGTTTTTTTTTTAATACTCTATCCGTCCTAAGTTATAAAATATTTTTAGATAAAATCTTACATGTTAATAAAGTTTATTGAATACAAAAAAATATAAAATTTTAAAATACTTTTCATTTAATCTTTCATTAATAAAAAAACATTATAAAAATATGAGAGGGATAGTATTAAAAAAATTTTATTAATAAAATTTTATTTAAATTAAAATATTTTATATTTTGAATTGATGAAATTTTTTTAAAAATATTTTATAATTTAAAATGGATGAAATACTACTTAATATTTAACATAAAAAAATTGCGCATAAAAAACGAACAGCTATATGCCCCTATGAAAAATTCACAAATATGAAAAAGATAATAATATAAATGAATAAAATAAATATTAGTTAATAATCTCGAGAGTCGAGAGTGGTTGATCCATTTCTCTTCGTCGACGAAGAAGCTTTCCCCACTCCGTTGGACGCCGTCTACCATTTGTCAGCCCTTTGTGGTTGTTCTCGGGCAAGCAATGAAGAAGGTGCGAACCCTAGGGCCTTTTCTTTTATGACAACTTTGCGTATTTCCAAGATCTGTAATATTGGTCTGCCTATGCGTGCAGGGCGGACTAACGTTGTATGTTTTAGTAGGGATTCATTATTTTTATTCGCATTTATTCATTTTAAACTGTCCCTGATACTGGGCAGGAAATGGGTTTGATTCCTAAGCAACCTGTGTTTTGTGTAAAATGGCCGTGGGATGTCATTCAAAGTAACAAAACTTCTGACACTTGCAACTTTGATGGTCCTTGGCTATTCAAATCAATCCAAAATCTTGGATCATTCGCTTTCAACTTTGCCAGTTCACTTTCAAAATCTTCAAGTACTCGAATGATTTCTTTCAATCCGTTGCAATTGGATGAGAAAACCAAGGGGAGGCAGCAAATGACTACGATTGAGCAAGGGGAGGCAGAGCAGAGAGCTCTTGCATCTGCTCTGGCCAGTGGGAAGGAGGCTACAGTGATTGAGTTCTACTCGCCTAAATGTAGGCTTTGCAATTCTTTACTTAAATTTGTTTCCGAGGTAGAGGCAAGGAATTCTGACTGGCTCAACATTGTCATGGCTGATGCTGAGAATGAGAAATGGCTACCAGAGGTATCTTATTCTCCGTAGAGTATATTGATAAAAAAAAAATTGTTGCTTTGCTTCTCCAACCCATGCAAGTTCCATGAAATTTGTTTTAAATGTTATTACCCTTTGTTGCAAAAGATTTGTCTGTGTTGTTAATCTTACATTGCCCAATTTCTTGCAAATATTATCGGTTCACCATTATAGTTGGCATTCTATTGAAGAAAGGATAGTATTGTAATTATTACTACTGTGTTGTTAATCTTACATTGCCCAATTTCTTACAAATATTATCGGTTCACCATTATACTTGGCATTCTATTGAAGAAAGGATAGTATTGTAATTATCACTAATAAATGCTATGCATCCGTTTGTCTTCTGGTAGGTACTGAAATATAAATCTAGGAAGGAACAACATCAGACTTACAATTTAGGTTTTGGGTCTCATACACTGACCTGCCATTTTCTTTCCTCTATTTTAGATGTTAAGCTATCGACTTATCATAAAATTGATGTAGGATTTCAAGCATGGTCACCGCTTGACTTGAATTGTCATTGTGATTGTGATCTTGACTTTTCCATGCAAATTAACACACAAATTTTCTTTTTGTGCCTGATTTCAGAAGTAATGCACAGCTTTTGCTTTCATTTTCTGGCAAACTTTCAGTCTTATTTTTCTTTAGGGCATGCTTAGTTATTGGAAAGGATGGAGATGGAATGCAATAGGATGTTGATCACCATGAATTTGTTTGATATGACATTGAGAACGTTGGAAAGAAATTTATTTTAATATTGATTAAATAAAAATAAATCGAAAAAGACTGAAATTTCCTGAAACAGATTTATTTCTCCAACCCTTCTCTTTTGTTCTTCTCAGCATTCTACTTTACCCTTCTGCCTTTTCATCATCAGTGTCCAGAAACCCAGAAAACACCAAAAATCATGTGAACAAAAAAGATTTAGAAAATACCAAGAATTTGTGACTGATATTTGTGTCAGTTTATTGTGATTCCCAGGTAGGTTTGTTCATTCCTTGCATCTTTGGATGGAATGAGCATTGCAGTTTGTGGGAGTCAGCATTGCCTAGGAACCTGGTATCTTGCAAACAAACCTTCTTTTCTTTTTCACTGAATCCCAGTCCGGTCCGTGTTTTCCATCAAGATTCTTGCAACATCTTTTTAAAAGTAGTGATTCGAACTTTTGCTGCCACATTCCTCATATGAGATGGTTTGCCGAGTCTATCAAGTGAGGATCCAATCATACACTTATTTAAAGCTAAAGCCATTAGATTTTTAGGCGTCTTATCGGATGCATGCCCTTTAGTTTATTGAGTCCTTTTAGACATGAATGTCTCCATTTTTATTGCTATCATATGTAGAGTTTGACCAATAGTGATGCTTCTAAAACTATTTGTTTTCAGTGAGTCAATTAGATATTATATGCATAGAAGGTCCTTTCCTTTTTGTTCCCGGAATAACCTGTTTGGTTTTGGAGTGATGGGTGATTCATTCCCAAGTTTGCTCTCCCATATTGTAGGAACTTCTTTAGAGGGTTTTCGAAGAATAAAAAGGCTAAAGTTAATGGTGATATGGTTTTGTGGTCTGTTTTTGATCTGAGTGGCAATGGCGTTGTTTGTAAATAAATTGATTTTGTAGCGTACATGCTACATATTTGCCTCCTGAAAGAGGAACTTGTTCAACATGGCTTCTTCATGCTGTGACTTGTATTGGAATTTTATTATTGCAGCTCCTTAATTATGACGTGAGGTATGTTCCATGCTTTGTGCTTCTTGACCAAAAAGGAAGGGCCCTTGCCAAAACAGGTGTTCCCCACAGTCGTTTACATGTAATAGCGGGTCTGTCCCATCTTCTCCAGATGAAGCGTCCTCTTCAACAAGATCATGGGCCGGGCCGGGCCGATGCATGATATATGACACAGCACATATTGTATCTGCTATATTGTTCCTTTGTTCATGTGACGATTGCGTTTTCTGAAACGGCTTTCTGAGTGTTTGATAGTATCAGCATTATTCATTAGGCTTCCCGTGCTTATTGTAAATGATATAATCTCAGTAGCTTCAGAGTCATCCTGATCAACACATCAAACGGGAATTTCGATTTGATTTTTCGTGTCTTACTTTGTAAAAGAGGGATCGGTTTCCCTCAATTTATGGGAAGTTTGCAGCGCGAAGATAGTGTTTATCTTTTTGGATATCCTAAACCATGTTTCCTAGGAAAATTATTTAAAAACTCCTCATTATTTTTAAAAATGATGTAGCAACTTGGATATCAAACGGAGCGAGCCCGGGTCCCTGAACAATTTATGGCTAAAACACTTCTCATCGAAGAAAAAGGGGGCCTAACTTCATCTGCCGGACATTCTTTAATGCTTTCATAGGCTGCTCAAATCTCAACAATGTGTACGCAAACACACGTATGCCCAGCCCATTCACATATATCCTCTTTTTTATTTATTTTTCCCCCCCTCAATGCTCACATATCATATGAAGAGATTAGACGAGTCCATGAAAGGTCAAGTTGGATTAGGTGGTTCAAGTTTGTGCCAGAACAGTAAAAGAAACCCACAAACCTTAAAATATAACAGAGAACATAACAAATAAAATTGAAATTTGTATTTATTTGTGTTTTTTTTTATTTTTTTAAGATACCATTTGTTTTGAGTTTCATATCTTATGTTAATATCATCAAATCAAATATATAATATAAAATTTGTAGATTTCATCATCCATGAAATATAAATAATATGATTCATCTCAGACTAGTGAATGTTAATATATTAAAGATGTTAAATTAATATTAATATTGAAGACAAATTATAATGCAGGTACAGACGGGTAGGTCCGCCACAAAAAAGAGGAGGGACGAAGGATAAGGGAAAATATAATAAAAAGGCGTGCATTGATAGGTCACAGGGCCTTTGATCATTTACAGAAGCCACATCTTCAAAGAGCACTGAAAGTGTCAGAAAGGTGGGAACGCGTGGGTGAGTGTATGTATCGTGATTCATGAAATCATCGTCCGTCCAATTCTGTTTACTTTTTCATCTTTTGACCCGAGGCATTATGTGATTGAAGTTCAACTAGAGAGGCCTTCATAAAAGCCAGTGGGTGTTGTGGAGTCGTGAAGGACAAGCTTTAGGAAAGGGCGTAGCTATGATGAGTGAAGGGACAAAACTAAAGCAGAGAGGAATGAGTTAAAGGACAACTTCCTCCATTATTGGTTGCCCCCTCTTTTATGGCAGCGACCACCCCCCCTCCTCTCTCTCTCTCTCTCTCCCCCATTTCTTTTCTTTCTGCCTCTGCTCTACTAATCACATGAGTTTCATGTTTTACTTCTCTCCTGATCACTTGTAGAACTAGAAGTAATGAATTGGGCTTTTTCCCCTAAACAAAACTGAATCATTCTCATCAAAGAAACACAACGACTAATAAATTGGAGCTTTTATATCACTACTCTATCAGGTTTTATTTATAAATTATTTTTAATATATTTTAATAGAATAAAAAAATAAATTTTATCAATATTATCTTAAAATTAATAAATTCTCATTTCCACCTAGAAAAGACAAAAAGATTGTTTCTAAAAAATTTTCCTCAAATTTAATAAGGACAAATGAGTAAAAAACAAACAAAAAAAATGGTGAAATAACCTGTCAAAAGAATCAAAACTAATCTCCTCTCTTTACCCTTATACAAGAGAAGTACATTTTCAACGAACATTATGTTTAGCTTTCAATAAAAAAATTGCTTATAAAAAAATTTAATTAACAGAGTGTGATGATGTTTGAATAATATTTTTTAAAATTAATTTTAATAAAATTAAATATTTTTTGACAATTTTTCAGAATCCATTCTGATTGTTGAAATTACAATAAAGGATCTTTTTTTATAATATAAATATTGATAAGCAAAATGGGGGTTAAAATTGTAAATTAGATATTCTCATTAAAAATGTGCCCTCAATTATCAAAGATATGAGATCCCGAGCTCACGCAGGGGGAAAAAAACAGGCTCAAAAAGTGGAAGAAATTTATATTGATGTTGTTTTAAAATAAAATAAATTTTTAGTTTATCCTCGTCAAATGTGTTAACAAAAAAACTATTTTCTCCCCCATGTACAACCTTTCACACTATTCATAAAAATACGTTTGAGGGTAAAATAAAAAAAAGTTAATGATTATCCATCTTTTTATACAAAATAACTAATAAAACATTATCACTTCATTTTAAAAGTGGCTCGTATAGAATTGGGAGTGATTACATCACAAAATAGTGAAAATATGTTCAAAATTCTAATATTTAAAAAAGGCAAAGAAAAAAAAAATAGAGAAGGTCATCAACTGAAAGCTTGAAACAATCTGAGCTGGGTCGGTAGCTCCCCTTGCCCCCAAAAAAAAAAAAAAGCAATTGAAATTCACTTTGCGTAATTTTTAATACAGGAAACTCATCAAACATCGTATCACTCCTTAGCACATTCCCCTATCTTTTAAAAAAAAAAAAGGAGGAGGAGGAGGAATATTCACTTGAACAGACCCTCATTTAATCGTATGCTCCCGATTTTTTTTTTCTTGCATTGTTGGAGAAATTCAATAAAAATATGATTAAATATAAATTAATTTAGATAAAAAAATTAAATATATATTCTGTAATAAAAATAAAATTAATTAAAATAATATTAAAATTTTATTTAAATGACTTAGATCATTCTAATTGAACAAACAAATAACATGACACACTCAGTTTATTTAAAAATTGTTCAGTATTATTATTCTTCTTGTAAACGTATAATTCTTTACTTTTGTTTTTAAAGTAATCAATTTTTTACATGCGTGCATACACTCATGCAAGGTTCAAATTTTAGTCCTCGTTCATGTAATTAGAGGTGGTGTTGTACTAAAACAGCTAGTTATTAACTAATTTGATTATTATTTACATTCAAACTGTAAATTTAAAAAATAGAGTTCAGCTCAACTTAATTATCTTTAAAATAATTATAAAAAAATATTTATAAAATCTTAACATTAAGTCAAGATTATCGCCCATAATGAGTGATTAGAATAAAGAAAGTGTTTTTTAAATTTTAAAAAGGTGATGATTATGAGCTTGAACACCAAAAGACAGCAGTATTATTTAAACAAAAATATAAACAAAATTATTTAAAGAAGTTTTTCTCACGTGCTGCTGCACAAGTATGACTGAAGACGGGGTTCTTCGAATTTTCACGAACTTCACCGAGTGAAGCAACGTCAACTGATATATCAGCGACACAAGTGTGGCCACTACTTTCTCTTTCTTTACCTCCTGCTTCTGGTTTTCCTGCCAATTGCAATCCTCTGCTTTGAAGTTTTATTGGTGAATCACTGTAGCCAAATCTAGAAACGCGAGGACAGCATGAGAACGAGCTAGACAATGTTGGAATTACAAACGGCAAGAGCAACAAGCAAACCGTCGGAGAATCTAGATGCAGAGTGCGTATCTTTTATTTTTCACCTGTGGGCAACTGTGGAATATAACAAAATTAAGAAGGATAAATCAGTCAAAAAATTTAGCAAAAAAAAACTCCAATTTAAAGGTAACCATAACGTTGGCCCAAAAAAAAAAAAAGGAAACCATAATGAGGGGAGAGGAAGAGTGATTTTGATTCTCTTTCTCTTCAAATTTTTTTAATCAAATGAGGCATTTCCTTTCCCTTTTCTCCAAAACCCCCCAATCACCCTTAATTTGGTGGGAAAAAAGTCTACCGGATAATTTAAATATATGTTTGGATTAAAAAAAAAATATAAAGGAGCTTTTACTTAAAAAGCTCATTCATATAAAAGCTTAAAATTTTAGTTTCTGAAGTGCATTACAGATTATTCAAGGCAAAAAAATGTAAAATTTTTATCAGTCTTCTCTTTCCTCCTCTCCAATTAGCAAAATACAAACATCTTTATTTTTGCAATCTTCTTAGATTTAAAAGGGGGAAGCCTATGTTAGATTTTTTTTATTTAGAAAAAAAAAACAGAATTGAAGGAGGAATCAACTGTGTAATTTTTTAATTTATTTTTGTAAAAGAATAAAAGATTATATATAAAACTAATCATGTGAGATTGTTTACGTATGTTTTATAAAAGTCTAACAATTAAATTGTACTCCTTTCATCCTAAATTATAAGACACTTTTAGAGAAAATTTAACGTTATAAAATATAAGACACTTAAAAATAATATTTTATTAATTATACCTTTTTAATATTACCTTTATCATATATTCTCTTTCTTCAATATTTTTTATTAAAGTATTAAATGAATGACATTTGTAAAAGTTTATATCTTTGTCTTGAAAAAAATAAAGTTGTAAATTATATTTAATGAGCTTTATTAATATGTAAAATTTTATCTAAAAGTGTCTTACAATTTAGGATGGAGGGAGTATTATTTTAATTTTATAATATTCAAAGTTTTATTATTATATTTTATATCAAAAGAATATTAGTAATTAATAATTAATTTATAATTTATAAATTTATTTTAGCATTCCATTCTACCTTTTTGCTTAAAAGTTATTATTTTTGATTTACCAATTTTTTTTTATATTTTTAAATTCTCTCTTTTTAAAAAATTTGTAATTTAAAGTTACTATTTTTCTTAAAAATATCAAATGAGTTACAAAATATATTTATATATAATAAAATTTATATATTTTTTCATATTATATTTTAATTGTCATTTGAATTAAATTATTCAAACAAATTTTATTTTGTTCAACTAACTTTTAAATAGAATAAATTTAAATATAAATTATGATAAAGTCACAGATTTTTCTTTTAACATCAATTTGTTAATATTAGTTGATTCTAACCTCAATTGCTAATTTTTTAATTTAAACACACACTTGATCCATATACAAATCAAATTGAATCAAATCACTTATACTAACTTTAATAAAATCCGATCAAATGTTATTTTTTGTATGACCCAATCAGTTTAGCTCGATTCATTTTTCAATTAAAACCAAATTAAACCTCACCTTTTATCACCATTTTGACAGCACATGTTCATAAACTATCGTAGACCCATTGTTACAAGTGCTCCAAATTAAAAGTATTTATGATTTACATGAATAATAAATCTTAATTAAATGTTTTAACCCTGAGTAATGAACTCAACGTAATCCTATACAACTGGCATCAT